AGCCATAAATCCTTTCAGTGATTCCCACAGGCTTAGATTTTTTTTTTTTTTTTTTTTAGTGTTATTAGTACAGCAGGTTCTGTTATTTGATTTCAAGTGATTTATAAATAACAGTACACTGTTGAAACCTGTCTACTGCATTATATATACTTTTTTTAACCCAGTAATTCTGTTTTCCCCAAAATCTGATGGAATTTCCGTCACCTCCACCATTTCTTCTCAGATTGCCCCAGATTTTAGTTAATGTTTTAGTTGCAGATGCTACAATGGAGAAAGAAACTAAGGTACCCTGGTATTTCCATCCTTCACTAAGACTAGCAAGACCCCACTTAGTGAGACTATATTAGTTGAAATAATGTTTCCCTGGAAAGAGAGGCACACAAAAAGTGCTTACTGTGTTTCATTTACTGAAGGGGGGAGATAAAAATGTCCAGATCAACTGTTAGAAATAGAAGTGTCTGGCAACTTTCAATACTGAGATGCAGTTACTGCATGTAACCCTAGTTTGATGGCAAGTCAAAGTCACATGGGGCTTTACTATACTTGTTACTATATTTATTATTTGGACAATTACCTCTACCATGGCAATTTCTTCAGTAGCAAATTGCAGTTGCAAAGACATTGCAAAGACATTCTTGCCCAAATTGTTTTGGGAGAAGCCAGAGTGAAAATGCAACTACTAAAAAATCATTTCAGCTAAGCCAAATATTTTGAATATTTTGTTCAAACAAAATCTGAAAGATTTGTTTCTGGTTTTAAAATTCTTGATTAAAAAAAATGTATACAGGTAAAATGTGCTGGTTGTTCTCTGCAGCACATTACATAGAGCCATCTCACCCCATGAGTGAGACTGCTCTGTCCCCAGGTGTGCCTGTCTCATCGAGGGAAAAGGGCTTGGCTTAATAACCTGAATAATAACCTGGGCTGGGGCCACAACATCTAAAGCTGGCAGCAGGAAGAGCCTGTGCAATTTGCAGAGCCCTTCTTGTCAGGCAGAGCCATAGAGCACCTCACATCCTGATGGTCACTCTACCTACGTTCACCAACTTGCTCAGGCAGGATGGGAAAGAGAGTTTTATGGAAAATGGATGGACATAGATGTGTGGAAGAGGAAAGGGAGGGCAATGACAGGAAACTACAGCTTCTGGTCCACTGCTTTGTCCAATGCTACCCTGACCTCTGGCTGTGACAGCTGACAGCCACTGCCCATCCTCAACATGCCTCTCCCAGTGCTTGCCACACAAACACTGGGTTTGTCATGATGAGGATGTGTGTGCCACTCTGCACCCACCCAGCACAGCCACCACCTGCACCCTCCCAGAGAATCCCTTGCAGAGCTCTCTCAAATGGGACAGCCCTTCCAGTCCCTTCTCCCACAGGAGACCACTGTGGTCCAGGGCTACTGGTAGTACCCTGTGTGGGCCTTCTAAGCAAGCCTTGCCCTTTTGATGCTTTCTCTTATGGGACAAATTGGATCTGGAAGAGGAAAGATGTCACCTATGTTTCCATCCCTATTTGGTCTGATTACCTGATTTTAACATTTTTACTATTAAAAAAAATCCAAAAGGACCACCCAACTTCCAAGTACTGAAAAAAAAAGCCACCTCTCCTCCTTCTTTAATGCAGGCTCACAAAACTCTCAGTGTTTTTTAATGCTTCAACAGACAATCATATATTTTTAAGTCATCATAAATTAATATGCTTTTAGCCAAAATAGGTATTGAGCAATGTTTTCATGAGAAATTCTCTGGATCCCCAATGCAGGAAATGTCTGAGATTCCTGAAAAAGAGCAGTATTAGCAGGGCAAGGTGGTGATACTCAGTCTGCACCTCCAACATTTGTTATTGGGATGACGAAGGTTTCAAGGCAGCTTAAGTCTGAGGTATTCTGGCTTTTGATATAAGTTTAGTAGCTTACATGCTCCAAGAATTAAAATCTAATAATTTGCCAGAAGGGTTTTTTATTTAGGACAGAAAAAAGAGGAACTGGAAATAACAGCTCTGACTTAAATCCTCGAATATTTTTCCTTTTTTTTTTTTTTTTTATTTTTAAGTATATACCTTTCAAATTGCATATGATATGATATATGCTATGCTATGATATGATGATATGACATGATATGGGGAGGAGAGAAAATGAAAATACAAAAAAGTAAAAGAGAACAAAAGCTTCTTTCCCATTGGGCATTTCTGTGTAATTTACAAAGCAAATTCCTCAAGTCAGGCTCTCATCCATGGGGATTTTCCACTTTCCCACTCCTGAGGAGCGCAGAGGCAATTGTACATGAGTACACACTGACCCCCGCAGAGAACAGACCTGTCAGATAAGAGATTGCTTTCATTCCTGTCAAGCTCCCACGAAGGTACTCAGTGCACAGACCGGTGTTTGTATTACTCTGTGAAGGGAAGGACTTCGGCCAAAAGAAGCTGGCAGCCATGGCTTTTTAATGAACCGTGTGCTGACAGG